CCAAGCCAAGTGGGCTCCCTCCTGCTCATGCTGCCGACTCCATCCGTCCTGAGCACGTCACTCCCGTCCTGCTCTCTTCCTCTTTGGGTCCCACTCCCGCGGACGCTGGCGGACGCTGGTGCGCGATGCCTGGGGCTCCCAGGGGCCCACCGGGGCCCCCGGGCACCCATGCTGATACCAGCTGACACGGTTGGTGGCTGGGGTCCTGCTGGGGAACTGTGGTACCGTGGCACACAGCAGCTGGTGGACAAAGTAGCCACAGATGCGAGCGGGATTCTTGAAAATATGAGCTAAAATCACATGAGCTCTTACGCAGCTTTGTTTCCTGAACAAAGCAAACTTTAAGGAAAATGAAAGTAATGATTTCCTGAGGGACAAATGCAAATGCAGAGATAATAGCTGTGTGAGTGAGAGGGGTTCACATCAGAGGGCTGGTCCTCAAAGTCGGCTTGGCGCCCAGCAGAGAGAGCAACAGGCAAGTCCCATCCCTTTCATCTCTTCTGGGACCTGTAAAGAGATGAAGTCTTCCCACTTCCATATCTAAGGGGGAGGGGACCCGGGTGCAGGGACCGCCACAGCGGGGTTGGGGAGGGGACCCGGGTGCGGGGACCGCCACAGCGGGGTTGGGGAGGGGACCCGGGTGCGGGGACCACCACAGCGGGGTTGAGGGGACCCGGGTAGAGGGACGTCCACAGTGGTGATGGGGTTTTGGAATACATGTGAGGTTCAGTGGGGTAGGGTCGGGAGCCGACGACCAAGAAAGAATCCTTGAGATTCTTTGGTGCAAAACGGTGGTTTATTAAAGCGCGGGAACAGGACCCGTGGGCAGAAAGAGCTTCTGCCGTGCGGTAGTGAGGAGTGGCTGATTATATGCATGGGGTTGGGGGTGGTTAGGAAAAGGGGAGGTTTCAAAAGGATTTTCATATGTTAAGGAAGCCTTACAGGATGCCGGAGGTCTTGCCATTGTCAAGTTAAGGTCGTTTTCCCCTCTAGCAAGGCAGTAACGGCAAGATAGTTGGGAGATCCCTGGAGGAACGTTACACTCTGCCCGCTTCGAGTGTCCGCCAATGGACTGCCGGTTATAAGGACCTTTAATTGTATTTACATTCCCTTCTGGAAGCTATTGCTAAGGCTTTTGTAAGTAAACTGAGGGAGACTCAGGTGTTGCAGGACTGTGATCTCTGTAAGTTACCTATTTGTTTTTCCTTTACGGCAGCCGGGAGTGCCTGAGGAATGTCACAGATATCCCACGGTGGGGGTGTGTGGGGTGTCAGCTTCTGCTTTGTCCTCAGCTTGCCTTCTGTTCCCTCATCACGAGGACATCCACAGTGGGGTTGGGGGGGGACCCGGGTGCGGGGACGTCCCCGGTGGGGTTGGAGGGACCCGGGCGCAGGGACGTCCACTGTGGGTTTGGGAGAGGGGACCCAGGTCCAGGGATGTCCACAGTGGGGTGAGGGGGCAGGTGTCGGGTTCCCTGGTCTCTACCCCTGGGGCCCGAGGCCCATGTGCACCCCTCAGCTGTACCTGGTCAGTGTCGTCATGGTGATGCCGTGTCAGGAGGGTGCGATGTATGGTTGCCCAGAACCCCCAGGAGGACACCCTGAACCTATCCTGTCCTGCCCGTGGTTTCGCCGTCCCGTGGGACACGTGCAGTGTGTCAGTGCATGGAGTGTCAAAGTGCCTCTCAAGGGTCATGGGACGGTGCTCAGCCGTGGGCAGGGGTGAAGCCCTGACCCCTGCTGGTACCTGATGAGCCTGGAGGACGTGGTGCCCAGTGAGCGGGGCCAGAGGCACACGGCCCTGTGTATGTAAGAAGCATCCAGCCAGGAAGATCTGTGCGACAAGGAATGTGGTGTGTGCCAGGGGCTGGGGGAGGGAGGGGGCGTGACTGGTGGTGGGTGTGCTTTGGGGACAGAGAATGTTCTAGAACCAGAGAGGAGGTTGCACAACACGGTGGGTGAGTGCGCTCAATGCCCCCCAACGCTTGCCTTAAAAACCTAACCAATAATTACGCATAAAGAGCCCCACACGAAGGAGGTTTAGAAAGGCTGCTCAGTGTCCTGGGCTGGGGAAGGAGCAGTGTCCCTTCCCGTCGGTGACATCGTGGGGTCTTTGACATACTGACTGCTCCCCCAGAGGAGGCCTGCAGCGAGTGTGCGGACCCAGTCCCCGCTCCCAGAGACCGCAGTAGCTTTCTTCCCAACAAGGTGTGAGGGTCAGCAGGATGAGACCCCGCAGGGACGAGGCATCGGTGCTTCTGGCCTCACCTCAGTGCAGCCTGGAGGGCTGCATGAAGGAAGTGGCCTCTGAGCAGGGCCTGGAGGAAGGAGGTGGAGGGTGCGGGTGGGTTAGCTGTTTCCACAAGCAGCCCATGCTCATTCTCTGACACTCCCGAGGAGGCTGCAAGTTTGACTGACGTGGGTGTCCCTGGGCTCCTTTGCGGGTGGGCAGGGCAGGTTCCTGCGGGCTCCCCGGCCTGTCCAGCTCTAGAAGCCCTGTGTCCCTTGGCTCATGGCCCTTCCTCCGACGTCCCCATCACAGCCCCTGGGATCGCACGCCCACCTGGGTAATGCAGGGCAGTCCCCTGCTTTGAGCTCAGCTGTGCAGCAACCTCCAGGCCTGTCTGCCGTGGAGCCTGACACTCACAGGTTCTGGGGGTTCGCACAACTTTGGAGCCCTTGTGCTGCCCACCTGAGGCCAGAAGGGGAGTGGAGGCCAGCTGTCAGGAAGGGGAGGGGAGGGTCTGTTCTGCAGGCAGTGGGGAGACCCAGGTGTGGTAACTGTCAAGGCCCGCCGGAGCACAGAGCCCCAGTTCACGGGCTCTATGTGGGACCCTGGGCTGTGGAGGGGCCACGGGGCCGGTGAGAGGCTGTGGGCAGGGAGCTGGGTCTGGACGGAGGGAGGAAGGGAGAGGAAGGGGGGGGGAGGGAAAGGGGAGGGGAAAGGGGAGGGAGGGGACAGAGGAAGGGAGGGAAGAGAAGCCAGGGGGCTGACAGGGCTGCTGACTGCCGACCCCGTGTGCCCATGAGACAGCCACGGGGACTGCAGGGTGGAGGGTGCCTGAGCAGGGCGGAGGGAGGCCGCCGTGGAGGGTTCCACCCACACCCAGGACCCAGCCAGCCCTCTGAGCCGCCCCCCACGTGTCCCGGATGCCGTCTGGGTCCCTGCGGGTCTCAGGCAGACACTCGCAGGAGGCACATTTGCTGAGGGCTCCATGCACAGGAGGAGACAGGGAGAGAGGAGGACCAGGGTCCCACCTGCGGGGCTCCCAGTCACCTGGGGTCAGCACGGGGTGGGCAGGTGTGCGGCTGTGGATGTGCCCTGGGGAATCCGCCCCCACCCATGGAGGCCACATGCCCTGGGCAGGGCTGGGACAAGGGCCACTCAGGCCAGAGGGCCGGACACTTCAGCAAAGGACACGGTCACTTTGCCAACCAGTGTGCTCAGAGATCACAGGCGCCGGCACCAAGGGGTGTGAGGCAACTGGGGCTCTGATGAAACTCTTGTTTGCTCTGGCCCTGGGGTCCAGAGCACAGCCAGAGCCCGGCAGGCTCTCGGGACGTCCCCCTGTCCCTGACTGCTGGCCCCGTGGTCACACTCAGGATGTCCTCCCATCCCCGTCTCCTGTCCAGAGTGACAAGAAGAGACCACAGCCAGAGCCCGATCAGGCTCTCGGGACGTCCCCCTGTCCCTGACTGCTGACCCTGCAGTCCACTCAGGATGCCCCCCCCCTCCCGTGCTGTGAGAGTCTGGTTCCTGAAGCCTGGGGTTGTGAATACCTGTGGACCCTGGGGCACTGTTGTCCACATAGGGAGTCCTGCTCTGCACTTGGGGGCCCTGCTCTGGACTTGGGGGGCCCTGCCCCAGGCTTGGGGGTCCAGGTCCGGGCTTGGGGGTCCTGCTGTCGGCTTGGGGTCCTGCTCCGGGCTTTGGGGTCCTGCTCCGGGCTTGGGGGTTCTGCTCCAGACTTGGAGGGCCCTGCTCTGGGCTTTGAGTACTGCTCTGGACTTTGGGGACTCTGCTCTGGGCTTTGGGTCCTGCTCTGGGCTTGGGGAGGGCCTGCTCTGGGCTTCGGGGGGGCCTGCTCTGGACTTGGGGGGGGTCCTGCTCTGGGCTTGTGGATCCTGCTCTGGCCTTGGGGGCGTCCTGCTCTGGGCTTGTGGATCCTGCTCTGGACTTGAGGGTCCTGCTCTGGGCTTGTGGATCCTGCTCTGGACTTGAGGGTCCTGCTCTGGGCTTGGGAGGGGTCCTGCTCTGGGCTTGAGGGGGTCCTGCTCTGGGCTTGGGGGGTCCTGCTCTGGGCTTGTGGATCCTGCTCTGGACTTGTGGATCCTGCTCTGGACTTGAGGGTCCTGCTCTGGGCTTGGGGGCGGTCCTGCTCTGGGCTTGGAGGTTGCAGGCTTGCCGCTCCGCACGGCAGGAAATGAGTGTCCTGGAGGCGGATCCTCCTCCTCTTGGGGGTGGTGTTCCCGGCGTCCAATGGCAAGGCAGAGAGCATTTTAGGACGTGCTTGAGCGTCCGGGGCAAGCGGAGGGAGCCTCTGCTGGAAACTGCCGGAGAGACTGCAGTGGGCGGTGAGTGCGTCCCGGCTGAGTGCAGGGGCTCCGCTGCGGGGCTAGCGGGCAGGTGGGTGCTCCCAGCCTGAGGTGCGGGCGGGGGCGGGGACGGGTCGTGCGCTGAGGCTGCTCTTTCCTCCCGACCCGGCTGGAGGGTGCAGCAGGAAGGGCCGCCAGAGTGTCCACTCCAGCCTTGGTGTCCCTGCCGGCGGGAAGGGTGGGAACTGGCTGGGGTCAGAGCTGAGCCCGGACCCCCCAGGCTGTGGCCCCGGGGTCCTGATGGTGGCGGGTTCCCTGGGCACCGACCTTACTGCCGAGCAGATGAAACGCTTGTTGGCCCGGGGGTCATGGCGGGTCCTTAGGTGCTGGGGCAGGGCCTCCGGACAGGCAGGTCAGGGAGCGGTGGGGAGCCAGGTGAGGAGGAGGGCGGAATGTCAGGTGGGTCTGCCGGCCGCGAGTCCGCCTGTTTATTCACCTAAGAGCTATTTCCTGAGCGTCATTGTGTCACTGTCACCACCCGCGGATGACACGTGCCGCATGGGGGACGGAGCAGCCTCCCTACACACTCACAGGTGGGAGGCTCCGGTATCTCACCTGGCTGGGTCGTGGGCGTCTGTGAACCCGCTCTCACCCCGGTTTTGTACAATCCCCACCCCCAGGACTTGCCTAGGCCCTGCCTTGCTCCAATCCAGAGGGTGGAGGCGGTCCAGCTGAGGAAGGGTCCAGCTGAGGAAGGGCGCGCTGGGTGGGGACAGCATGGGGGTGCAGGTGCACCCAGGACCTCTCCCAGGTGCGGGGACAGAGATGCCTCTGGAGGTGGACGTTCCCATCTGCTTGGAAACAGCCTTTCTGCAGGGTAACCTGTGCCTTGTTCTGGAGTTTCTTTGTGTCTGGTGCTCCCCGCTGGCCTTCCTCTGGGAAGAACCCTAATGTCCAAAGGGCACACTTTAGGGGGCATGTTCTGTGCCCCTTCATTTGAAGCTCAGAGAGTCGTTTTCCTTGGAAGCAAAATGACGAGTCCCTGGGAGATCCCAGGATTCACCAGAGCCTCCTGTCCGGGGCCACTGGGATGGGACTGGTCTCCGGTCAGTCCTTCAGTTGGGTGTGAAGAGGCCCCCCTGGGACGGCAGCTGGGAGAGGCACGGCCCCGGCCCCTGTTCTCCTAACAAGGATGCAGCGGCTGTGTGTCCTAGTCCGGCCTTACCACACTCCCCGATGCGGTCCGCCAACACACACTATGGAGTCCTGAGGATGGGGTTACACAATTCCTGATCCGCCTGCATTCCGGACGCCTGTGTGGGCACAGGGCAGGCAGTGGCCCATCTGTACCTGGATGATACCTCGAGGAGTGCTTCCTGTGTGTGTGTATGACATGGCACAGTCCAGCCCCTGACCGCCTGGACGCTTGCTGCATGAACGTCAGCCCCCCAGGAGGTCTGGGGTCCCACACTCACTCCTGCAGGGACACCATTGACACCGAGCGTGAGCTGAGAGAGCCCTGGGACAGGCCATGAGTGAAGACGGACGGCCCGGGTGCTAGTAGGTTATCTCAAGGACCCTTTTATGGATGGGAGAGAGGACTGGCCTTTGTTGCTGCTGAGACAGAGTGAGAACCAATGGTGTTGGCTTTTGGCGTACTAGACACAGTGTAGACCAGGAAGACATTTTTTTCTACACTCTTAGGTTCTGTTCTGGGACCTGCAAATTAAAATGACAAAAGACAGGAGTGCCTGGCTGGCTCAGTGGGTGGAGCATGCAACTCGATCTCAGGGTTAAGAGTTCGAGCCCCATGTTGGGCATAGAGCTTACTTAAAAGACAAATAAAATAGGGGCGCCTGGGTGGCTCCGTCGTTAAGCATCTGCCTTCAGCTCAGGTCATGATCCCAGCGTCCTGGGACCGAGCCCCGCATCGGGCTCCCTGCTCAGCGGGAAGCCTGCTTCTCCCTCTCCCACTCCCCCTGCTTGTGTTCCCTCTCTCACTGTGTCTCTCTCTGTCAAATAAATAAAATCTTAAAAAAAAAAGATAAACAAAATAATAACATAAATAAAATACAATAAAATGACAAAAGACAGATGGACAGGAGAAAAGGTTAATTCTGTAGGTGTGCAGAAGCCTTCACAGAAGAGAAGTGGATTCAAGGAGATAGTTAGACTTATGGGCTTACCTGCCATTTCAACAAGGGGTGATACATTTGTGGAGAAGTGACAAGCCAGAGGAAGAGGGGGTTGGGGTCGTAGGGACAGCAAACTGTGAGAAGGTGAGCGTTTGGGGGAAACTAATGGGAGGTGAGTGTTACTTAGTGAGGCTTGTTATGCAGACTTCCCCAGTGAGCATATTCCTCCCTCTCCTGGTACAGGGCACGGAGCAGGGACGTCTTCACAAAAAGGGCAATTCACGCCTGCTTTCGAGCAGGCAGGAGGAGGGCAGAGAGTTTTTCTTGTTTCTGCTTTTTCTCAGTCTCCTTTAGATCAAAATAACCCTTATGGCAAAGCGGATTAGTTCAGGGAGGCAGATTCTGACCCCCTACCACTCCAACAGCGGGAGGCCGTGCCAGAGGAAGGGCCACATCCAGACTAGAGGGAACTCGTCCCTCGCAGAGGGTGGGTCGGGAATGCCTGCGTGGTGGCCGACACGCTGCATGGTCATCGTGGGCCCGGGTCTCCTGCCTCACGTGCTTCTGCTCAGAACCCATCCTACGACCCAGGGAGATGACACGAGGGCTGCCACGTGGGAATCTGGTGGCAGGGACACGACACAGCTCGGCCCAAGACAGGCTCCTGCAGGGAAATTAGGAGGTGTCACCTCGGGGCTCTGGGGCACGGCTCAGTCCCCGATGGTGTCCCTTTGGGTGGAGGTGGCAGGTCAGGAGGGCGGGCTGTGTTGGTGCATGTGGCTTTAGCCTCAGAGGCACCAGGGGCAAGGTCTTGCCCACTGGGCCACGGACCACTGTGGCCACGTCTTTGGGGCTCCCTTCCCCGTGCACTTGGTGACACACGTCCACCCGTCTGCTTATCGTGAGAGTGTGCGTGGGACACATAGCTGGCAGATGCTTGGAAGGCAGTGGCGCTGGCCGTAGGCTAAGGACCCATGAGACCCCCCTACCATCCCCTAGCCCCGGGCATCGCCCTGGTGCTTGTAAGGGAGTGCACGGGCTTCGGCAGGAACCTTTCTCGGATTCCTTGCACCAGAGCCCTACCCCAACAGGGGTAGGTAGAGGGAGACAGGGGGAGGGCTCGGTGCTCACCTGGGCCCTCAAGACACCGGCACCCCCAGGATGGAAACCCTGTACCCACAGACTCTGCAGGCTGGCACGTGAGCCCCTTCCCACTGTCCGGAGGTGCGGTGGGGAGATTAGCGCATGACCAAGCAGGGGGTTCCCCTGGAGGCAGGGTATGCACTGCAGCCACTGCCCCCTACCCCTGGGAAAGCAACCCCCTTGGTTGACCTCTGCAAAACTTCATTTCCTTCCTCAGCTCTCACAGGGTGGCCTCCGATGGGCGGACAGGTGAGCACTTGTGGCAGCTTCCAGAGCCTGCCATGCACCACAAATACAGACTGGATGTCAGCGCTGTGCCCCCTGCTCTGGGATGTGCCCCTCCACCACCTCTCCATCCCAGGTGAGGGCCTCTGCATCCATCCTTGCTGGGGTGCTGCTGGCATGCCATGGGTCTCAGGTGTGGGGAAACTGCACAAAGAACATACATGGATACACACAATATAGGCAGACATGCGTGCACACACAACGCATGCACACAATACAGGTACAGATGCATACATGCTCATGCACACAATACAGGCACGCATGCACACACAAATGCACACAATACAGGACACGTACACACAGAATACAGGTACAGATGCATGCATGCTCATACACACAATACAGAGGACGTACACACACAGTACAGGTACAGATGCATGCATGCTCATGCACACAATACAGGACACGTACACACACACACACACAATACAGGTACAGATGTGTGCACCGATATGCATGCACACAAGCGTGCACACATAATGCATGCATAACAATACAGGCAGGCACACATGCACACACATGCACATATGTGTGCACATGTTAAACACAGACACATGCACACATGTGTACACAATGCACACACATACAAGCACACATGTACACACATGCACCACATGAGTGTTTTCCCTTTTCCATCTCCTTTACTCTAATGCAGCCCGGCAGGCATATGCACACCCCGGGGGAGTGTGGCTTCGTGACAGCATAGGGATTCGGGGTGAGGCTCCCCTGCTAGTCTGTCCCTCCATGTAGGGAACCCGTCTTCTCATGGCTGCATTCATCACTCCGCATCACCCGTGTGCTGAGTGTCCTCTGTGCTTGGAGCCTGTAGAGTCCAAAGTGGGTCTGCCCCACAAGGAGATCACACTCAACACTTTGGGGACTCTGATCCAATGACCTGGCAGCCCTGAGTCAGGCCTGCTGGGTTCCGTCTGGGCCCCCTGGGACTCTGGTGGCCCTGGGAGCAGTGGCCACAGCTCTACACTGATGAGCATGTGGGCATTGCCAGTCTTGCGTGTCTGCAGTAAACAAGCATGTAGTGAGGGCCGCCTGGGTGGCTCAGTCATTAAGCGTCTGCCTTCAGCTCAGGTCATGATCCCAGGGTCCTGGGATCGAGCCCCGCATCGGGGTCCATGCTTGGCGGGAAGCCTGCTTCTCCCTCTGTCACTCCCCCACTTGTGTTCCTGCTCTTGCTAACTCTCTTGCTGTCAAATAAACAAAATCTTTAAAAAAAAAAAAAAAGAAGCATGTAGTGGATCCCACCATGTGTCTCCACGTCCATACACATGCAGTATCTGGAATCCCTCCCTCAAAAATAGGCAGATTTCTCACCTGGATAGATTTTTGTAGTTTTTAGTATTTACCCATATTTTCATGTGCACTTACGCTTTTCTTTGGGAATTTTATGGCTTCTTTTTTTTAAAGATTTATTTATTTGAGAGAAAGTGCAAGTGGGGGTGGGGAGAGGCAGAGGGAGAGAATCCCAAGCAAAGCACGGAGCCCGACATGGGGCTCGATCTCAGGACCCTGAGGTCGTGATCCAAGCCCAAAGCCAAGAGTCTGACCCTTAACCGACTGACCACCCAGGTGACCGACCCAAGGAATTTTATAACTTCTTAAAAAACATTTTTTTTTAAAGATTTTATTTGTTCATTTGGCAGAGAGAGAGACAGCGAGAGAGGGAACACAAGCAGGGGGAGTGGGAGAGGGAGAAGCAGGCCTCCCGCGGAGCGGGGAGCCCGATGCGGGACTCGATCCCAGGACGCCGGGATCATGACCTGAGCCGAAGGCAGACGCTCAACGACTGAGCCACCCAGGCGCCCCTTAAAAAACATTTAAACCCTTGATACATATGCAGTTTATCTTGACGGGGCAGGATCCAGTCTATGTATTTCCCACACGGCTGTCCACTGTTCTGTCAGCTGGACTCCCACCGTGGCCAGAGACCCATGGCTTGAATGACCTCATGGATGAGAGAGCCCCTGGGGATCAGGCCGTGTCCCTGCTGGGCCTGAGGGGCAACAGCACAAACCCAGGTGTAGGCACTGGCCAGTGCCCCCCAAATTCATGTCCCCCTCCACCCACGAGCCTTGGAAGGGGGCCTTTTGTGGAAATTGGGTCTTTGCAGATGTGAAGTGAAGGATCTGAGATGAGCTCATCCTGGATCAGGGTGGCCCTAAATGCAAGGACAGGTGTCCTTACAAGAGACAGAAGAGGAGACACAGACCAGAAGAGAAGCCACGTGAGGACGGAGGCAGAGATGGGAGGGACGTGGCCACGAGCCCAGGGACGCCTGGAGCCCCAGGAGCTGGAAGAGGCAGGAAGGACCCTCCCCTGGAGCCTCTGGAGGGAGCTTGGCCCTGCCCCGCCTGGATCTCAGCGGCCCTGCCCCGCCTGGATCTCAGTGGTCCTGTCCCGCCTGGATCTTAGACTTCCGGCCTCCAGAGCTGGGATACAATTAATTTCTGTTCTTTGAAGCCTCCCAGTTTGTGGTACTTTGTTGAAGGAGCCACAGAAAACTCATATACCCAATAGATAATGATTGCAGAAAAATGTGAACATCTAGGTAAGTTAAAAAAAAATTTAAATCCTCTATTGACATATATTTACCTGTATTTTAAAATTGTACATTTTAATATATATAGTATACGGGTCCATTTATATATGGGGATGATCCATTTTTATATATAAAGATGGATACTGTCAACGGAGAACAAGATCAAACCGTACAATTTTCCATCTGCCTTTTTACTCAACGTAGTATCGTCCGCATTTCCGACACGGGCAAATACGGAGCCTCGTGTTGTACTGACCGTGTGCACTCTGCTGACATTTGTATGGGAGCATATGTCACGGAGACTGTCCCGTGTGTGGCGACCATCAGTCCCCACCGTGGGCAGCTTCGCCAGGAACCTGCAGGGTGCGTGCCTTGCTCGCCCACCATCACTCTTTCGACTGAGTCCTGGACTCTCTGAGGCTACCATGCTGAGTCTCTCCCACTGGAGGGGCCCCTGCAGCCCCTCTCCGCCCCCGGCCTCACCAGCATGCTCAAGGAGAGATAACGTCCCTGCACATACTCCCTGGTGACCTGAGTCCCTAGGGTTTCCCCTTCGCCGGGGGGCTGTTTTCCTGGTGGGGGGCATGTTTTCTGTGGGTCCCTAAGTACTCTGTGTGCAGTCGGGATGCGGTTTTCGGGTGGGCGTCCTGGGGATCAGCAGGGAGTCGTTCTGGGAGGTGAGGAGGGACACAGAGGTATGCCCGTCCCGGGGGCTCCATCCCTGCCGTGCCCCTTGGATGCAGGTGGCCTCCGCGGAGGGTGCGGGCAAGTAGCTCCCTTAGACGGCAGATGTGGGGAGGGACGCAGCTGGTGTGGTCGGGGACACCTCAGCACCACTGGGGAAGGAGCCCCTGGTCCCGAAGTCACCACCATCTGGGTGGCTGTGAGAGTGTCCTGGGGCTCCTTTAACGAAGGACCACAACCTGTGGCTCCATACCACACACAGGGGGCATCTCACAGCTCTGGGGCCCAGAAATCTGCACAGGTCTGACCTCTAAGTGCCTGTACGGCTAGCTCCTTTT